GCGTGCTATCACCTGAACTTGTGTGGGTCTATTTTTATAATTCTCTTTATGGTGTGTATTGATTATCGCAACTTAATTCTAAACGAGTTGATCGATTTTATTTTTATCTTACGTTTACTTTACAAAGAGCGAATGTTTAAGTCAACATTGAGGCAATTCACCATAAATCGTTAACAAATGACCATCTTTAGACCATTTTATATTGTATGGTCTCTTTTTGTTTTGAAATAAACCGATTTTTTTTGCACGATTACAATACTTTTTCTATACTTTGTATTCGAGAAAGTAAAATAAAATTGAGATTTTTGCACGTTTTACACCTCCCTAAGTCGAAAATAACATAGTTTTGCAATCTTGTCCGTATATCTGCGTGTATGTGTGTGTGTGTGTGTGTGACTCTGTATGACTGTAAACACGATGACTTGAGTACCGTTACAGCTAGGTTGATGAAATTTCATACATAAGTATTTTATCAAAATCGTAGATCCGTATCAATTTTTGGCCGATTTCCGATAACCACAAGTGGAACTTTTTCTACTTTAATTTTTTCAAAAACCTATAACTTGAGTACTATGTCAGATAGATAAATGAAATTTCATAAATAAGCAAACGATCTAATTATCTGCCTTCTTTCGAAAGTTGAGTCTTTTACGTTGAACGAAGGTAGTAATTTTCGATATTTCCGATTTCTCCAACAACGCATGTGAATTTATAAAGTACTAATAATATTCCGCACTACTATTCACATTTTGTTTTGCATTCACTTGATGTGCATTTCTTTATTGCACGAGATTCTATTCTATTTTAAAAAGTTAAGTAATTAAAAATGGATTAAAAATCATGTCTATATCCCGAGTTGCCATCCCCTGTTGTTTTATATAAGAATATTGGAGAAAGTTTAGGGAATATCACTAGAATACTAGTACCTTAAATTCAACTGCGTTTTTTGAGAAATCGGAAAAGCGTTAAGTATTACTTTCGGTAAATGGGAATAATTCAACATTTGAAAAACAGCAAAAAATTAGATCTGTTAATGAAAAGTGAAATTTCGTTTATCTCTCTGAACCAGTACTCAAATTATGGGCTTTTGAAAAAACAAAAGTAGAAAAACTTTTATTTCCAGTTAACGCAAATCGCTGGAAAGTCGAAACATAATCACAAACTTTATGTAATACTTGTATATGAGATCTCAACAACCTAGTTGTACCGGTACTCTATTTATCGCGATAACAGACACAAAGACATACATCAACAGAGGCACACACACACATACGCATACACACACACAGTCATGCGGACAGAATTGCAAAAACTTTGTTTTTTCGACTCAGGGAGGTAAAAAAACGTCGTGATCATTGAGGATATCGTTTTCGATTTTTTGCATTCTCTATACTCCGTATACGAGAAAATAAAAAAAATCAGAACACAGATACACAGATATTGTTTACTTTGCTATTCACAATTCGCAAGAGCTACGTTCCTGTTCTGAAGCTTAAAGCTCTAAATCCTTGAAGTTTTAAAAAAAAAAAATCTTCAATAGAGAGTTTAAATATTTGTAAATGGTGTGTTGTCGAATATATTTAGTTCAGCCTACTGCCCGTGTAATAAAATATCAATATATTGATTAGGTAAAAGCAGTATCACGTTAAAAATATTGAGTCACCAACCGCATAGGTTTTTTTCAGAAAGGCGTATTATGATATTTAATAATATTTAATGTATAATACTTAATCATTAAAAAAACCAACGTTTTTATTCCAATATTATGTTACTGCATTTCTGAACTTAAAACTTTTACCACTTAAAACATAAAATCGGTGCTAGATACTTTAATATACAGCCAACTAAAATATAAAACATAACGGGTATTTTAAAATTTGTATCAATGGGAATACCCCAACCAAAGGCAGGTGACTTCAAGCACAAACATTATGTTGTGTACCAGTTGAAGGTGACAGGGCTTAATAGCTGCCCTTGACGCCATATTTGAAACCAGATTTTGTTTTCAAGTATATAGGGAATTGTTGAAATTAAACGATGTCTTAAAATTACACGAACACTAATAATTAAATATATTATGATTGATAAAGTAAATGTTTTATTTGAATACCCCATTCAACGAAGAATAAAGTATTAGGTAAGTAGATTTTTTATTAGGAAAATTTTGTTATATGCTTTAAGGCATGGTCTTGATAATGCCCAGTGATACATACACTGAAAGAAATATAGGCCTTCATACATACATCTATATATATCTATATATAAAAAGCAATATTGTTTGTTTGTTTGTTTGTTTGTCTTTTATGCATTACTACACCTCTTATCACATCGCCGTGAAACTTTTGGAAGTTGTTGAGAATATTCCTGGGGAATTTTCTGCGGAAAAAAAATATTTCAAATTCGCAGGGGTGGAGCCCCGGTAGGGCGCGAATTGTTTTTTCTCTTTATACGGTAAATAAAAATATAAGTCGATTGAGGTTTCTCACCCTTCATCCAATCGCCATCAAAGTTTGGGGAGTTGACTACAACACTGCAGGGAAGGGTTCTACGAAATAATCATTTTTAATTTCGCAAGGGCGGTGCCATGGGAGGGTACGATTTTTCTCTATGTACGGTATATAAAAATAAAAGTCGATTTTGGTTTGACACCGTTCCACCGATAGGCATGAGACCTTGGGGAGTTGATAAGAATACTCTGGGGAAGCGTTGTGTAAAAAAAAAAAATAATTTTTAATTTCGCAAGGGCGGCGCCAAGGGATGGTGCGATTTTTCTATATTTACGGTATATAAAAATAAAAGTCGATTTTCTTTAGACTCCGTTCAACCGATAGGCATGATACTTTGGGGAGTTGATTAGAATACTACCCGGAAGGGTTCTGTAAAAAAAAATCATTTTTAATTTTTTAAGGGCGGCGCCACGGAAGGGTGCTATTTTTCTCAATGTACAGTATATAAAAATAAAAGTCGATTTTGGTTTGACACCATTCATCCGATAGCCATGAGACTTTGGAAAGTTGCTAAGAATATTTCTGGGGATGGTTCTGCGAAAAAAAATCAAATTCGTAGGGGTGGCGTCGCGGGAGGGTGCTATTTGTTTCTATATACGGTATGTAAAAAAAATAAGTCGGCAGTGGTGTGACATCGTTCATCCGATCGCCATCAAATTTTGGGAGTTGGTGGTGAGGTTCCTGTGAAAAAAATCTTTTTTTTTTTATTTCGCAAGGGCGGCGCCATGGGATAGTGCGATTTTTGTCAATATACGGTATATATATAAACCGATAGGCATGAGACTTTGGGGAGTTGATGAATACACCCGAGAAGGTGTTTGTGGTGTGGGGGGGGTAGGAGGAGGTGGGATTTGATTTTGCATGGGCGGCCCACCGGCAGGATGCCATTTGGCGCTTGGTCTTTCCGGTGAGTGCTATGGCGACTATGTTCGGTCTAAACATTGAGATACACAATGAATAGGATGGGGCGTTAAAAATGCTCACTAAATTGAATCAGGCGTGGCCTCCGGCGCCCTTGTTGGGTGCGATTTGGCTGCTAACAAAAATTTCAGTTTCAGCCTCCAAAAGCTCACATGGGCCGCTGAGGGCCAAGTAATACGTTTTATTTTAATAATCAGAAAAATTAACCAAGGTTAGATTATTAAATGGGATGTTTCTTTTTGTCCGTAAAAAAATCCAAACAGTTTCATAACTTTTCGAATGATGCAATTAGCATCTATTTTTAGACAATCCAATCAGAAATTCAGATCGAGCATCTAATAATAGACCATTAGTAAAGCTAACATATTTCATCAGCCACACTGATGTTTAAAACACGTCAATATTTTTTTACGTGTTAAAGGACAAATCCTGTTCATTTGTGTCACTTTAGCGAATGACGCAATCTGCATCTGTGTTAACAGGATGCTATTTGGCACGATAACGCCTGTTAGTTGTGAGTAGCCCGGGGCCGTACGCAGTAGTGTAATCGGGAGGGGGGCGGGGGCTTCTGAGAGCGCCACTCTACGTCCCTGACACATGGGCGGTCACCGTAGTGTGTTCTACCTCGTTATTTTGATGAATTATTAATGTACACTCAAGGTTTTCATGCTGTAGTGTAGGTAAACCTGTGTCCTGATATTTTTGATCCAAGCACAGGCATTATTTACATTTACATAACTCACTTTAAGAAAAACAAGGTCACGAGTCTAAGAATATAGGATTGGTAACGCATGGATGAAACTCGTATATATTTCGTAGGACTTTCTTCAATTCCCGCGGCAAAGCCTTAGAATCTTACACAAATTCTAAAATGAGAACACTATTCTAGTTTTTATATTATTATTATGTTTTTATTTTATATTTATTAAATTATTTCGTTAAAGGTAATAAACGTACTCACCGTTCCCATAAGTAAAGTGACTACTTAAGGTAATTATTTTACGATTCAAACCAATGTATTATAATACTCTTGCTATCAAGGTAAATTCTAACAAGTGATATAATAACGAGTTCTAAAAATTAAATCAAGAAGAGACTTTATACGAAAGACTGCAACTAACCTTATGATTTTTATTTAGTAAGAAAAAAGAGTTTAAATAACATAATGCTCTTTTACAAGTCGGTTCATCTAACGGAAATTTGAATGGGAGTTAAACAATATAAGTCAATATCGATTTCGATATTATTTGCACAATTACAATAACCTCCTATACTCTGCTTATTAGAAATAAAAAAAAAACTGTTTAAAAATCGAACATTGATATGCCCGTTGTTAAATTAGTTTAAAGCATTGGTTAGCTAAATATGTATTGCTAATCCTTTGTTTTGTCATCAATAAATTATTCCGATAGTAACTGATGTGTTGGCTTAGAGCCAGCAGTTATTACTTTGATTACATTGTGAATATTCAGGCTAGTTAGAATTATTTTTCATCAATTATTTATTGATTGAAACATAATTTATTTTAAAAGTTTTATAATTTAACTTTCAATTTAGGAAACTATTGCAAATATGGAGACATCTGACAAGAAAAATATAAATCGAATAAGAGCAGCTATAAAAACAAATTGTTTCTCTGATTTCAAAAATGCACTTGGGAAGATCAAAAATACTGACCTGCTACTTAAAAAAGGTAGCTTATTGGTATTATCAGCAGGGTTAGAAAACGAGGCTTTTGTTAGAGCATTACTTAAGAAGGGATTCGATGTGAATAGTAGAAGCAAATATCAAAAGACAGCTTTAATGAAAGGTGCAGAACATGGACATCTGAACGTAGTTAAATTACTGCTGGAATACAAGGCTGATGTGAATTTAATAGACAACTACAATTGTTCCGCCCTACATGAATCTGTAAGGAAGGGAAACGATTGCATAGATAAATCATTGCTGACACACAATGCTGATGTAAACTTGAATGTTGATATGGTAAAGTTACTGGTAGACCATGATGCAGATGTTAATTACGGTGAGGAATGCACACCTCTATATAAAGCCTGTGTGGACGAATGTTTAGAAATTGTTAATCTTTTGGTTGACGCTAAAGCTAATGTGAATATACAAGATAGTTATGGAGACACGCCGTTATATATATCTGTTATGAATGGAAATATTGACATTGTTAACCGTTTGTTAAAAGCTGGAGCAAACGTAAATTTAGAAAGTAACTACAGAGTTTCGCCACAATATTGTAGCATTAGCTTCAAAAACCGTAACATCGAGAAAAAACAAGGGAGATCCTCCCCTCTATTTCAAGCTTGTAACAAAGGATTTTTCGAAATTACAAAAGCCCTAATCGATGCTGGAGCCGATTTGAATTTTAAAAATGATGAAGGAGAAACTGCGCTCTGTAGATCAATTATTAAAAGACACTTTCATATTGTAAAGGTTTTAATAGAGCAAGGCGCCGATGTCAACCATCACGTTGATAGAACTGCAGAAACCGCACTTTTATATTCAGCAAGGGGATGTCCCTCTGAAATTGTAAAACTATTATTTCAGAAAGGAGCTGATGTTAACTGGGTTAATACAGAAGGGAATAATGCGTTAATCTTAGCATTAAACGCTGAACACATAAAAACAGTTGACATTTTACTAGAAAATAATCGTCAAACACCAAATAATTTGGGCACATGTGTGTTGAATTTAGTATCAAGTGCAACTGTAACAAATAAATTAGGGCGGACAATTTTTATGTTAGCTGCTATGAAAGGTAATAATAAAGTGTTAATTGACATAAAAGAATATAGTGATCCCTCTAAGTTCGACGTTTATGGAAACACAGCTTTTATGTTAGCGGCCATAAATGGCCACCTGGACATTGTACAGTTACTGTATGAAGGTACTGTGGATGTTAACTTTAAAGGACAAAACGCTCTCATGTTAGCAGCTATTGGTGGACATGTTAATGTGGTGAAGTGGCTGATTTTTAAAGGGTTTAATGTCAACAAAACAGATTACCATGGTAACACAGCTCTAATGCTGGCTGGTAAACCAGAGGTTGTTGAGGTTTTGTTAAAATATAAAACAGATGTCAACGTGATAAACTGTGATGGAAGGAATGCACTGATGGAAATTCTATCTAACTATTCGCTACAAGAGTACAATGTTTACAATATAGAAAATGATTCGAAATGGTTAACATTACTTTTAAAAAGGACTACTGATATAAATTTAAGAGATTATATAGGACAAACAGCAATTATGAAACTTTTAAAAAACAATCAAGGAATAAACCTCGTTAAAATAATTTTAAAGCAACACCCCGATGTCAATGTAAAAGATAATGAAGGAATTACACCCCTAATGATAGCCATAATATCAACATTTCTCTCTGATAAGAAAAAAGCGCTTATGAAATCATTGAAGAGTATTAAACTACTTCTTGCAAATAGTAATGATAGCATTAATTATATAGACAAAGAAGGGAATTCAGCTTTAATGTGGGTATTTAAAACAGACATATTTAAATCAAAAGCTTTAGTACAAGAGCTACTTCGTCACGGCGCTGACATCAACCATCGCAACAATAACAAAACCTCGGTGCTCATGTTGGCAGTACAGAAGGGATTTATACCAGAAGGAAGGTATAGGGACATTGACATGGGGGATAGTGAAGGGAAGACGGCGTTAATGTATGCTGTAGAAACAAGCTATAATTCACATATAGTGCTGCAATTGCTGGAACAACACAAGGCTGATGTAAATGTTGTTGATAATAAAGGGAAGACGGCGTTAATGTATGCTGTAGTAGGAGAATGGCGTAATAAACATGTAGTGCGGCAATTGCTGGAACATCACACGGTTGATGTAAACGTTGTTGATAATGAAGGGAAGACGGCGTTAATGTATGCTGTAGTAGAACAATGGCGTAATAAAGATATAGTGCGGCAATTGCTGGAACATCACAAGGTTGATGTAAACGTTGTTGATAATAAAGGGAAGACGGCGTTAATGTATGCTGTAGAAACATGGCCTAATAAACATGTGCGGCAATTACTGGAACATCACATGACTGATGTTAACTTTGTTGATAATACAGGAGAAACAGCGCTGATAAAAGCTGTTAAAGAAGGTCGCTTAGATTACGTCCTGATCCTGTTGGAGCATAAAGCTGACATTTACATCCAAGATAAACAAGGTCGGACGGCGTTAATGTGGGTTGCTAAAGGATATTCGAATCAATATTTTAGTCGTGATATTACCAGAATATTACTAGAGACTGAACCATCAGACCAAAACACACACCAGGTCAGTAGCCACATGTCAGCTATAGATCAAACAGACAATAAAGGAAGAACGGTTTTAATGTGGGCTACTAAATGTTGTGACTTAAAAGTCATGGAATATTTGTTGGGTAGCGGGGTTAGTGTTTCACAGATTGATGCTGCAGTAAAGAATATACTGATAACAACAATAACACGAAAAATATATTATAAATATTGTAACCTAACTGCATCTGGAATCAATCTTTGTATGAACTTTACATCAGACTTCCCCAAAATGAGCAAAAGCATTTTGTCTAGGGCAAAAAACGAAACATATTTTGATCTTGTCGATAAATATAGTAACACATTACTAATGTTGTATGCAAGACAAGAGGGATTTAGCAATTTCAGATACAATGAAAACATCCTTCTTAAAATAAAACAGGATATAAACGCAGTAAACAAACACAACAAAACAGCTTTGATGATAGCTTTAGAAAACAGAAAATACGAGTTTATAAAACAAGTCTGTAAACTTTATAAAGAAGATGATGTTGTGTGTCCTAAAGGTAGAACTTTACTCATGATGGCGGCACAAGCTGGTTTAGTTGACACTGTGAAATATTTGGTCAGTAAGGGGTCAAAGGTTAATCGGGTTGATAAGAAACAGAGAACAGCACTCATACACTGTGCACTTGATGCCCCTATCAAGAATACTTTTAGTATCGTCGAATTTTTATTGACTCACGGTACTAATGTTAACAGCTATGATTATAAACACGAAACTGTCCTCATAAAAATTTTAAAACGTAGAATCGATGAATACATTTTTCCTATCGTCAAGTATTTGCTCGACCATAATGCACAAACACAAGTCGTAGACAGAGATGGCAGGTCTCCGCTTATGATAGCCATTATACAATTAGGTCAGATAAATACTCAAAATCAATACTATAATAAACAAGAACAATTAAGACTGCTTAATGAGGTAATACATCTCGTGATTGAGAAAACTGATGACGTCAACACTACAGACAACAAAGGCAACACAGCTCTAATGCTGGCTTCTAAATACGGGTTGAACTATGTGGTCCAGATTTTAATAAACAAGACAGACGACATCAATAGGGTCAATACAATAGGTCAAACATCTTATGACTTGGCATTAAAGAATGGACATTACAGTGTAGTGCAGACTTTGGTAGAAAACAAAGCAAAGGTTAATACTAACGATGTTTTAGAATTTGTGTCAGTTTTTTCTGGTTTACACAAGTTACATCAGAAGTCAAACTGTCCAGAGAACGGAACTCGTGACATTGAATTATGGACAGCGTTTCTCAATAAGTTGGATCAACAGTCAGCTTTAGCAACCAACAGAGGTGAAAACTCGACACGTCACATTTACACTTCTGGTGAGTAGTTTTATTTTCCGAATAAAATATAACATTTCTTCTTTGTTGTAGGTAATTAATTAAGTATTGCGTATTCATATGAAATGCCTGATATGATCAGTCTGCTTTTTCTTTTGGGCTATTGTCCCAAACTATCGCGCAACATCTACCTCGTGATTCGAACTCTGATTTTTATTGCAATACTCACAAACATTTTTAGCAACATAAGATGAAGTTTATATTAAATATTTAAAAAAGGATATCCTTCAAGTACAGAGAATAATAATTTGAAAACATTTGTTCCACATACAAATTAAAGGATAAATAACTTGCATTATTTTTGGACTTTATATGAAATATTCATAAACCTAATTACACATATGTACTCAGATTTTAAAAACATACTACATACTACTAAACGCTTCCAAAAATGTTCGATTTTCTGTAAAAATGCAAGTTATTCACATTGTAAATGAATAGTAATTTTTAGAGGTCTACTAAATGTTTGTGGGCGTTCATATCAAGGGAGGGTTTAATCCAAAGTAGAAGCATATGTAAGGGGCTATAAAATGTAAAGTTTCTGTAGACGTCAAAAATGGATGACCCTTTATCTCAAGTTTGTTTTCAACTTTACAAGTTCATTTTGCCCATTATTCTGTGAGGGTTATTTGTAAGTCGTTCAAGCATTTTTCTACGTTATAAAATAAAGACCAAAAGTTGTTAATTACGACGCAACTAATACCAGCAAAATATTTAAATTAAACTTATCGCCCAATCTGTACAACGGCAAAAGCTACTTGACAAGTGCTAAGCATTTGAAAAGAAAAAAGATCTGAAAATTAACCTCAGAAACTTAACTGACACAAATTAACAGTTAACATTTGCCAATAATTACATAACGGGTTTTGTTGTACTACATACACATCTGAAGAGGACAAAATGCTCTAAAACAGGAATAAGATATTGTGAATTACACGCTGGCCATTATCCCCTTACCATTACACCCTTACCCACATAAGCTCATTTTAGTTCTAGCTATTATTCTTTATTCTGTGCTCGGCATAATACGAAATAATGTATTGTATTTAAATTATTCATATTATACTTTGAAAAATTGTTTTAAAGGCAAAATGTTATAATATGTACATAATTTACGAACATACAGGTCTAAATAAATTTACTAGACACAAACGTCACTATGATTTTCAAGAATGCAACTTAAGGTAAGATTAATGTATGTTTTTCCAAGAACATCCGTATTAAAAACGATACATGTATATATTTAAACCAATTTTCTTATACTTTTCTAGTTGAAATTTTAAGTTTTGAATAATTAAGCTGAGCAGTTTTCTCAAATTAAAACAAAAAAGAACATACGCTATGTAATAGATTGAGATAATTGTGAGGTCAAGGGAACTCACTCTTCTGTATTAGTATTATATTTATATTGTTATCTTGAGTGATGTCCCTTACATGTTATGTATATAAGTGTCTCGTCACTTCCGTCTCTCTCTCTCTTTCCTCATGGTGTGAATAAACTACTGTTAACAACCAATGTGGCTTCTCGTCAGTGATTCCAATCTATCACATTGGCGACGAGGATGGGATAAATAATCCACTAGAAAGAGCACCTACTTACGCAAAAAAGAGGTTTGCTAGAGCATATTAGCTAAGTATTTCTAGAATAATGGCGCTGTATGGCCAAATAAAAGAATTTGATTCGAATGATGAAATCATTCATGATTACCTAGATAGGTTAAGCTTTTACCTTGAAGCAAACGACGTGACGATAGAAGCCAAAAAGAAAGCTGTTTTGTTAACAGTCATAGGGCCTCAACAATTTAGGCTACTAAAGGACTTATGCGCACCAGCTAGTCTAACTACCAAGAGCTTTAACGAGCTGAGCAAATTGCTAACAGACCACCATGCGCCTACCCCATCAAAGTTTCTATGTCGAGCTAGATTTGACGGTAGGACTCGTCAACCAAACGAGTCAATATCAGAATATGTTGCTGCTTTACGTCATTTAAGTGAATTTTGAGAATTCGGAGACACGCTGTCTGACAGACTATGTGAAAAGTTTGTGACAGGTGTAAACAGCCCTGATATTCAAAGAAAGTTGCTGCTCGAGTCAGATCTAACATTAGAAAAAGCAATACAACTTGCAACTTCATTCCAGCAGTCATCAGATGCGGCGAAATCTCTTACGCCTTCAGGGATCCATGCAGTAAACAGCAGGTTAGTCAATAAACATCAACCCCATCAGAGCATTTCAACTTATGCTAAACAGCCTGCACGTTTAAAGCCTAGATCTAAATCTAGTAATAATTATCAAAAATGTCATCGATGCAAAGGTCCCCATGCATCTCATCGGTGCAAGTTCAAGTCTGCAACTTGTTATAAGTGCAGTAAGCAAGGTCACATTGCCAAGGCCTGCTTTGCAAAGTCTTCGTCTGTTGCTAAATCTAGCCAGTCAAGACAGTACCGCAACCAAAGGCAGCACTACGTTAACTCTCACCAAGACTACCTAACCCAACCAATGAACCACTCTACCTGTGAAAATGCTCAAACTGATTCGCAGCCGGATTTCAGCCTGTTCTCTGTGAAAGCAACAAGTCATGCTCCCATCAATGTACTAGTTAATATCAACGGTAAGAGCATCAGCTTCCAACTTGACACTGGAGCACCTCTAACAGTCATAACAAAGAAAGATTTTGACGCTGTCACAGGAGGATCAGTGCCTCTACAACCATGTCACAAGTGTCTAACAACATACACTGGTGACAATGTTCAGGTAATAGGAGAGTGTATGGTTCATGTAAGTTATAATGGTCAAAGTGTTAAACTTCCTCTTCTTGTGGTTGAAGGAAATGGACCACCATTACTAGGTAGGAACTGGTTAAGTGATCTTAAGTTAAATTGGAAGAGTATATGTTCATTGAACAATGCAAGAGAATCTAGTCTTACTTCAATAGATAAAGTAATATCTGAAAATAAAAGTGTTTTTGGCAATTCAGGTTTACTAAATGATAGAACAGTGAAGATAAGCATTAAAGACACAAATCCAAGATACCGCAAAGCTAGAGTTCCACCTTATGCAATGAGGAATAAAATTGAAAATGAGCTAAGTAGATTGGAATCTAATGGCATTATAAAGAAGGTAGACTATTCCGATTGGGCAACGCCCATTGTGCCAGTGTTAAAGAAGGATGGTTCTATAAGAATTTGTGGAGACTACAAAGCCACACTGAATAAACAAATAGAGCTAAATAGGTACCCTATACCTAACATTGAGGAAATTTCTTTGAATTTGGCAGGAGGAGACAAATTCACTGAATTAGACTTTAGTCATGCTTACACTCAACTAGAACTGCATCCAGATTCAAAAGTCTATACGACAATAAACACACATAAAGGACTCTACCAATATGAAAGACTATGTTTTGGCATATCATCTAGCCCTGGAATTTTCCAAGCTGTCATGGACAGTATTTTTAAGGATATTCCAAATGTTTGTGTATACTTTGACAATGTGTACAGAACTGGTAAGAATGACACTGAACATCTTAAAACACTAGATAAAGTCTTGAAAATAGTTGGTGAAAAAGGTTTAAAGATAAACAAAGATAAATGTCAATTCATGTTGACAGAAATTAGTTTTCTTGGTTATATATTGAGCAAACAAGGCATCAGACATCAACCTGAGAAAACAAAAGCCATTAAAGAAGCACCCAAACCTGAAAATACCCAACAACTAAGAGCTTTTTTGGGCTTGATAAATTACTATGCAAAGTTCATAGGGAATCTGTCTGGTAAACTATCACCACTGTACAAGCTGCTACAGAAAAATGCAACTTGGCACTGGGGTAAACAACAAGATACTGCTTTTAATACAGCAAAAGAAGCTTTGTCTTCTGACACCTTACTAACTCACTATCACCCAGGGAAAAGACTTATATTAACATGTGATGCTTCACCAGATGGTGTAGGAGCAGTCTTGTCCCACATGGATGAGAAGGGTGACAGACCCATTGCTTTTGCCAGTAGATCTTTGAACCAGGCTGAGAAAAATTATTCTCAGTTAGATAGGGAAGGCTTAGGCATCATTTTTGGTGTTAAGAAATTTCATAAGTTTCTGTTTGGTAGGAAGTTCACCATCTTTACAGATCATAAACCATTGCTAGGTTTATTTGGAGAAAACAAAACCCTACCTGAGCATGCCTCACCAGGAATTCAGAGATGGGCTACCACACTAACTGCATACAATTATGAATTGAAATACAAACCTGGATCTGAGAATAGTGCAGATAGTCTTAGTAGATTACCTTTAAAAAACCAAAGCCTTAGCTATGTACCAGAAGATGTATTTGTTCTCTTCACTATCATGGATAACTCCAATATAAATGTTAATGATATTAAAAGAGAAACACAAAAAGATGAGTGCTTAATAAAAGTATATGAGCACTGTAAGAATGGTTGGCCTGAAGAGTCAGTGAATGATGACTTAAGGCCATATTAAATAAGAAATAAAAACCTTTGTGAAGATAATATAAAAGATGGAGAAGATGCAGTCCATTATCAGTCAGAGTTGCCTAAACAAAGTATTTGTAACTTAATAAATGATTATGGTGATATGGCAATTTCAATTGTTTAAAGAGAATACATTAGTAAGAAGGAATGTGATCATCAAACAACTTTGCTAACATCATTAGCACTTACAGAAACTAAAAGAGTAACATCAAAAGAAAAGAAAAAAGATTTTTGCCATTTAATACACCCACTTCAAATACTGGATCACAGTTGCAAAGTGATATGGTCCAGGATAGTACTTTTAAACAGTATTATTTTTGGTTACCAGAAAAGCACTATGAGAAAATTGATCAATCAAAGAAATCTATGTCAGTTAAGGATCTGAATAACAGCATAATACTTTCAGATGCCAATTCAAAAATAGTTCCATTAAATCATGACAAAATATCCATTGAAAGAGAATTTGGTGTTAATGATAATGTGTATCTAAGAAGTTATG